ATGCTCATATTCGTTGGAGGATTACGTTATTCAAACTTCGATGACTCTATGTACCGTTGTTTTATCACAATACGAGAAATATACATACATTTATGCAGATTTTTCATTATTTAATTTCTTCAAATATAATGCAGGACTCTAACATTTGTGGCAACAGTTTGAAAAGTGAACCGACATTTATGAGTCCGACGCAAAATGCCAAAAACGAAACTAATAGTCCTTCGGGATTCAAATCCCTTTGGACTAAAAAAAAAAAAAAAAAAAAAAAAAAAATCAAGCATGCTTAGAATAAAAATGTGATGTGTTCTGCTTTTAAGCATTTATCATGTTAAAAGTCTTTTTACTGAATAAGAATAATGAAGAAAATGCAGTTGCTTCAAGCTCATTTAATAACTTGTGCAAGGAACTAAGAAGTTCTTACATATTTAACATGAAACTAACAAAACGGTTATATAAACTAAAATAATTAAAGTTTTGAACAGTTGGAATTATCGTTTACTGTAAGAAAGTAAAATCGTTGGAGAAAAGTCAAGATTATTTGTACTTTTAGTCAAAGTCAAGCAATTTGTTTTGGCTAAAGCGCGGCTTCATTGCTAAAAATGCATTAATATTCCGAATGGATCAAGAACTCGATACTTCTCGTTATTATACTTCTTGTTTGTATTTCTTATTAAAGTTCTTGTTTGATTACGTCCATAAACGTAAATTAATTTTAAAATATCAGGTAGCATTTTTACATTTAAGACTGCGTGGATAAATGTGTATTTGAATATCGATTGGTTGAGATAAAATAATTTTAGATATTAATGAGTGTATATTAATTATTTTCAATAAATCTATTTATTATTTTCAATAAATCGAGAGGATTGTTAGGTAAGACAATTTTTGTGTTCCGTTTTAAGTTAAAAATGATTTAATTTCATTAAAGAACAAAAATGAAAATTTCGTCGGTTGTGTTCGTACATCCACGTTCATCAAAATATTATGAAATTTTAACTTTTCCTAAAATTTAATTATGATGGCATAGTTCTTATATGCTTCTAGTCTTAGAGTGCATTTGTGACGCCAGTCAATTCTTTTATCAAGGACACTTTTCAGTGAAAATTTACTTTTACTAACTTATTGAGTTGTATTGGCATAATATTATGGTTAGCCAGAAACAAAAGAGCATAGATTTCCTCATAATCTTAATTCGTACAATCACCCGCTTTCTCTTAGAACTTATACTCCTTTAGACATTCACTTTTACTTAGCACCTATATATTTTAGGTATTCATTTACTATTATGAGAGCATCAAACATGTGTCTTGGAATAGTCCTGGTCACAAGTCATCTCCTACGCAAACCTCGACGAACGACTCTTACAGAAACTGAGCTTTTTGGAGGTTCAGTTTCTTTGATGTGGCTGGGGCTTCCTATTTGCACGTCCATGTCATTGTCCTATCGAAACAGGGGGTATTTTGAGTCCTAACTCCGACTTCATTCGTTCCCTACTACATGACTGCTGCTGTCCGTTCACTCTGACCTCTTTCCTTTTCGAAATGAGGGATTGGAATTTATACATTATTGGGTGACGTCACCATGACTAAGTAAATAAGAAGTCCCCGTTTATGACCTCTTTCTGGAGGAATTTTTGTTCACTATAAAAGGCAATCTAATCTTTCTTCTAGAAATTTCTAGATTCACTAGAAGGGAATCACACTGTAACGAAAATTATCATCAAAAATATCAGAACTACGCCGAGACGACCCGTCAACGGTTGTTCTGCACAGGTTCGTAATAGATACGTATATATAGATACGTATATAAACCTTAATAATAATTAGACACAGTGAGTCTACTATTAGAATATCTGTTTACAATTTCAATATTTATAGAAAAAGAAATAAATCTTTATCTACTCGAATTCTGCACATGTTTCTTGACGAATAACAATCTTTATTAATATTTGACATCAGTATTTTCACAGTTTCCTTGACAGTTAAAGCAGGAATTCTCTACTAGGATATTATTCAATAAACAGAACACAAAATACATTATAATAATTCAATTCGCATTCAATATCAATATTAAATTCATAGAAACACTTCTATCACTAAGCAAACACGGATTAGAACGTTGCATGGCAACGCCTAAAACTGATGCCATCCACAAAAAAAGGATACAAAAAACTCGTGACATTAAAACATTAATACATTAAAAGTCTCGTGTTCATTCAATAAAAGTTATTCATAAAACTGTCTCGTGGATATCTTCCGAAGTTTATTGACGATGTTACGTAACATCCTCCCACCTTGATTTACCACCTTCGAGGTAAATCAGCAAAGTTCGAAAGTTCAAGTAGCCCAATCTCTTAGGTATCTTGATTACTCTGCTGCTTCTTGACGTCCGAGGAGCTGCTGAAACATCATTCTGAATTGGAATGTCATTCTGTGATGTTGCTGGTGGGTCATTAGTAGTATGTTGATCTGGTATAATGGGATCCCCAGAAGAATTAACCTCTACAGGGTAAATTTTTTTGACTGGACGAACGAGATGACCAAGTGGAGTTTTGACTTTGACGACTCTCACATGGCCGTCTCTCCCAGAATACAGTTCTTCAATCACTGCAAGTGGCCAATTAAGTCTCTTTTGGTGTTCAGGGCCAACAAGGACCACTTCTCCAACTTTGAAAATTTTGTCAGATGTGCCAGCTTTTTGCACCAACTGACCTAAGTATTCTTTCCGGAATCGTCGCCTGAATTGTTCACGTAGTTCTTGGCAATAACGTTCTCTCTTTACCAGTTTGTTCCTATCCAAATCATCAAGATCAGCCGTTCCAATCTCTTTTACATCTTGGAGAAAGTTGGATGGTGTTAGAGGCCTCAACTCATCTGCATCGTTGAAGATGTATGTTAACGGTGGCTTCTGCGGCGCAAAGAACTGTGAGGAGTTCCTCATACGTAACAGACGACTTACCAAGAACTCGAACAAGTAGAATTTTAACTATGCGAATTAGTCTCTCCCACCAACCGCTCCACCATGCTGCGGTTGGGGGAATGAATTTCCAGTTATTTGGATTTAGAGTTTCAAGAGCAGCTATCTTTTGCCACTCAATTTGGTTCAATGCACCAGAGACACCGATAAAGTTCGTTCCGTTGTCACTATAGATAACTGTCGAACGGCCCCGTCGAGCGATGAATCTTCTCAACGCGAGTGCACAGCAATCTGCACTTAAGGATGTCACGATCTCCAAATGTATTGCTCTGTAGACTGCGCATGTAAACAGCACCACCCAGGCTTTAGTCCTTTTCCTAAGAATAAGGGGACCACACAAGTCAATTCCGGTGACTTCGAAAGTTCGAGCGTCCCGTACTCTGTCTAAAGGTAAATGAATAGGTATGGTTGAAGGTGACTTTGTTGTGAATCTCTTGCAGGTAATGCATTTCTTGATTATTGATCTAATTGTTTGTCTAGCTGAAATAATCCAATATTCTTCTCTAATCATTGACATGAGCATTTGAACACCGGCATGAGAATTCTTTTTATGGTATTCGAGCACTAGACTTTGCACAATATGATGCTTTGAACGGAAGTAGAATTGGATATTTAAATCCAAATTCATCATCTCTTGCGAGAATCTTTGTTTTCACCTCTTATCAGTCCTATTCATCTCTGACGACTGAAAGACCATTTATTACATCTCCAGTCTGAGAAAAACTTTCACGTTGAACTTAGTAGACTCAAAGTGTTTTTTTGAATCTTTTAACTCGGCTGCAGACAAGAATTTTGCTCTATTTACAGATTTTGCCTGACAGCTTCTAATAAATCTTAGAACCCATGCTAAAATTTTTACAATTGCTGAAAATTTAGAATATTTTTCATACCACTTAGATGTATCAGTACTCACACTAACGTTTAATACTACAGTTTTCTTTCTGATTTCTGGAAGAAATTAATGCCTCATTGGGTTTAAGTTCAAGGCGTGGCCAACTATCCTTCGGATTCTTTAACCAGTTAGGACCCTCCCACCATGAATTCTTTCGAATTTGATGAAGGGTACAACCACGAGATGGTATATCAGCTGGATTTAACTGGCTTGGCACGTAAGACCACTGATTTTCTCTGAAAGTGCACAAATCTCTTTGACACGATTTCCTACAAAAGTTCCCCATTGATCATTGCGCTTGATCCATGACAGAGCTGTGGTGGAATCAGACCAGTAATGTTTTTCAATTTCGTCTAAGGATAATGCCTCTACAACATACTTCGCTAGACGTTCTCCTAAAACACATGCTAAAAGTTCAAGATGTGGTATTGTCATCTTTTTTAAAGGTGCAACACGAGATTTTGCGATCAGAAAATTTACACATGTGTCACCATTGTTTTCACAGCGTAAGAAAATCACGGTCGCGTAAGCTCTCTGGCTCGAGTCACAAAAAACATGCAAAGTCCAAGTTTGTTTGTTTCCATATCCTGTTCTGCGGGATATTTTCAAATCTGATAAGATCTGTAATTCACAGTACCATTTCAAAAATTTTTGTTTGACCTCTTCTGACAGTGGAGAATCCCAATCTGCTTTAATAGACCAAACTTCTTCTTGAATCAATAACTTAGCCGGTAATAATAATACAGGAGCTAAGAACCCTAGCGGATCGAAAATCCCCCTGTGTTAATGACAAAATCTCTCTTTTTGACAGGTTGTCTAGATTTCGCACAGGCTTAATATGAATAGAAAGGCTATCATCCGTTCTGTCCCATAGAATACCCAAGACTGAAATCTGATTCTTAGATAGAGATTCCGAATTATCATTCCTCGAAATTTTATTAACGTCGTTTATAGGACCGAATGTCCACATCCGTAGGTCCATCTTAGCTTCTGCCAAAATGTCAATTGATTTATCCATAAAATCCTTCAACTCTTCCTCTGTGTCAAGAGACGTGACACAATTATCGACATAAAAAGAATTTCGAAGCTTTTCTGCTACGTGACTTTGGTCTTCATTTCTACCAAAGGAGCCTAAAAAATTTTCACAAGCAATATCTTCTTCCGCGTTCTTTTAGAATTACTGCTGGAATCTGAAATTCCTCTTGTCTCTAAGTTCCAAAGATCGGATACGTTTAGGTCCCGAAACGTCACGTCAGACTTACATTCAGAGTAGATATACAAACAGTCCATCCTAATGTAGTGTCAATTGCAGTCAAACCTCCATCGAGCTGTTTGACTTTCCAAGTAAGAATTGAACCGTAAATGTCACTGCCGATTAGCATCTCTATCTTCGGGCAACCTGTTCCTATGCCTGAAAAGCCATATCTTTTTAGGCTTAAAATTCTTTTAAAAATAGGGCCCTTAGGTACGCGTGCTATATTTCCACATATAGCTTCCTGATCCAAAAAACAAATTCCATTTCTTTTCTCATATAAGGATTGAGAGAGCGTAGCTTGATCCGATACTTTTTATGTACGTTCGGTTCAATTTTAACCCCTCCAAAAAGCGTGTGAGCTACAGTTTCCTCGGCAATGGGAATTAGTCCTAATTCCTGTACCGTAGACTTCAAAATGTATGATTTTTGTGATCCGCAATCGAGAAGCGCTCGTACTTCTCTCGTGCCTGATTTCCTAACACATTGACTTTAATTGTCATGAGAGCTACCTCAGTGGAACACATCTGTCCCGCCGTAGTCGTCTGAACGGTATCTGGCTCTGTTGCCTTTTCCTGCGTTTCCTGTACCTGCAGATTCGGGCAGGGAGAAATTGTGTGAGCCTTACCACACACATAGCAACATACAAACTGTTTACACGACTTAGCAACATGTCCAGGCGAAAGGCACTTTAGGCAACATCTCTTAAGCCTAATTTTATTCTTTTTCTCATGTAATGACAGAGAGCGAGAGCGTGCTTCGTAACAGTCCTTACTATCATTCAGTTTATCGCAAAAAGTACAGTTATTATCTTTCGTCGTAAGGAAACCTGTCGCCGTAGGGACATTCGTTAACTGTTTCGATTTAAATTTGCCTTTTAAATTCCCTTTTCGATTTATTGCAATACTTGTCTTTTTGCCCAAAAATTTCAAATCCACTCCGCGCTAATTTAAGTCTTTCCTCCCCTTCCACTTCGCATCTTAAAAATTTCATCAAATTAGTTAGGCGAGAAATATTCTGACTTTCCTTTACTTCTCCAAAAAGCGGGCTTCTTTGCCAGGCTCTGAGGACTTCCTCCGAGAGGCATGATTCTACCATGGGATATAACCAACAAGCATTGTTTTCCGTTTTAATATCTAAGGATTCGAGAGCTCTTAGTTGTGCTTCAATCTTATCAAATAATTGCGGCAATGGTAATTTTTCACTACTGCCTGTCTTAACATTCGTTACAATCAACTTTACAAGCTCTCTCACGTATACCTCAATTAATAAATCCTGATTCCCAAAATGTTCCTTAAGAGCACTAATAGCTTTTGAATAATTTTTCGCAGACATTGGGTAACTGCCAATAAAGTCTTTAGCGCGCGTCCCTTGTTTCCTGCTTTATACTGCACAAGATACTGAAATTTGTCATTTTCGTGCAAATCAGGGTCCTCGTGTATTTTTTCGAACTGAGACCAAAACGGAAGCCAGTTCAATAATTCTCCATCGAACTTCTTAAGCTCTATTTTCGGGAGCTTTAACGATCTAGTATTACGAGGTGAATTACTAGAAACACTACCTTGCGACCTAGTTTCTAAATTTATCTGTTCTAAGGCACCTAACTTCTCACTAACTAAGCGAGAAATGGTAATAAATTCATCCTCCTTATAAGTATCCCAGCTTTCCATTTCATTGTTAACTTTTTCAGGCGTTACATCAGTCGAAATTATAGAATTCAAAATCTGCTCCTTAAGTTCCTCAATATCTTTCTGTAACACTTGCAACTTTGTAAATTTATCTTTAATTATACCTGCTGAAAAATCATCCTTACCAATTTCGCTTTTCAAAACATTAACAGTCTTGGTAAAGGAAGAACGCAGTCCTCCGCGTTTTACAGTTAAAGGATTCATAATAAAACGATAAATGAAACCAGCTTTACTTCCCAAAATACCATTCAACAAAATAATTCTAACAGAAACCGCACTGCGTCCTGTCACGGACGCCACTTGTAACGAAAATTATTATCAAAAATATCAGAACTACGCCGAGACTACCCGTCAACGGTTGTTCTGCACAGGTTCTTAATAGATACGTATATAAACCTTAATAATAATTAGACACAGTGAGTCTACTATTAAAATATCTGTTTACAATTTCAATATTTATAGAAAAAGAAATAAATCTTATCTACTCGAATTCTGCACATGTTTCTTGACGAATAAACATTTTTGTTAATACTTGACATCAGTATTTTCACAGTTTCACAGTAAAGCAGGAACTAGGATATTATTCAATAAACAGAACACAAATACAATATAATAATTCAATTCGCATTCATATCAACATTTAATTCATAGAACACTTCTATCACTAAGCAAACACGGATTAGAACGTGCATGCCAACGCCTAAAACTGATGCCATCCACAAAAAAAGGATACAAAAAACTCGTGACATTAAAACATTAATACATTAAAAGTCTCGTGTTCATTCAATAAAAGTTATTCATAAAACTGTCTCGTGGATATCTTCCGAAGTTTACTGACGATGTTACGTAACACACACATTCGACATCACGAAATAAAGGAAAACTTTCCAAGTAGTTCTTTCTAATAGTACCTTGCTTCTAGAATATTATCTCCTGTTCCTTTCTTTGTTTCCAAAGAATCATGCTTTAGATTTGCAATTTCATTACTTAAAAGCTAAGCGATTAACATGATTATGATTTCATTTACAGATTTATAAAAATAGTTAGAAGCTACTTCTTCCAATTTATGTAAATTATAGTTAATAATGATCCTATTTACATAGTTAATAAAGTATTATAAGTTATACTTATAATACTTTAAGTTAATAAAGTACATTATAGTTAATAAAGTATCCTTATAGTAAAATAATAAATAAATAAAGGAATAATAAATTATCATATAGTTATAAATCATTAAAACTATATAGAAAGGGGATGTAGTCTTAAAATTTTTAATTTATCTTTTTTCTCGAAGGGGGATCTCAGCTTTATATTCGCATTAAAATTTTAGAGTTAAGTTTGTATGTAAAATGCGGATTAAAATAATAATAATATCAAACTCGATTATATTATCTAAATGAGACAACGCACACTAGAGCTATCTGCCTAAGAGGAGAGATGCTTTCGAGAAGCCCTTTTTTAATCTGACTCTGATTTTATTATTACCGCGTCCACAGAAGTCTTTACCCGGCCTTTATTTCCGCAACCGTTGATTGTAAACATGCTCGTCCAGTTACAAAATTGTTTTAAATGACACAAAGATTTATGTTTTTGCATTTTAAATTAAGAAAACAACTCATTTTGTATATCATGCAATTTTATACAGTCTCCTAGTTCCTATACTTATAGATATATATTTATGTTATATAGATACCATTATGTAGATATTTATGTTATATAGATGATATATATTTATGTTATTTATTTTGTAGTCATTTTTAAAAATGAATCAAAAAATGTTTGACTCTCGTAAGGCA